ATGTTTTAACCATGCATAAATACCTAATTGTACTTGACTCAAATAGGATTGTGACAAATGAAATAAGAAGAAAGAAAGAGGCGATTTTGAAGACTGGATACTCTTGAGTTCATTGTTATCACATACTTGTGATGTGGCACCATGAGGATACCACAGAACAGGCAGACTCTCAGAAGCTGGGCTACTACTCTGTAACGTTTCTGAGACTCAAAAGCTACTGTTCTGCTTTCCTTTTTCTGGACAATTGCCCCTCAGGTCAGCAGATAAAGAGCCTCTAAAGCAGATAGCACATACACATACTAACATGGTCAATCCAATGATTCACAGAGCCTGCTGTGTTCCTGCCCATGCCTGTCACTAGAAGGAAGGGGTTGGGAGTACAAAGTAAATATGGTTTTCCCTATTTAGATGCAAGGGATCCCATTCCCCCAAAACTTTCTTGATGGAAACATTTAAAATTAAATAACTTGGAACCTTAAAGTTCAAACAAGTTTAGGTTTCACAAAATTCATTAAATTGTGCCTTAGAATTTGTGAATTTTTCCATATGTAAATTCTACCCCCAAAAATGACAACAATAGCAAACCAACCACAAGGAGTTAGTACTACAGATGTGGATAATCAGTTCAACAGACTGATTAAAATGGTTACAAGACTGGTCATAGTAAATGTTAGTAATTATGTAGAACAACTGGAATGCTTTTTTACTGGTAGGTTAAAAAGCTTGGAAAAATGTTTAGCAATGTCTTGCAAAGTCTTGCATACCATATATCCCAGTAATTCCACTTCTAGGTACAAACACAACAGAAATATATATATACATATATATATACATATATATGCATACATATATGTATGTCATTATCAAAAGATACACTAGAAAATTCACAGCTAAAAACTGGAAATATTCCAAATGTCCACAATAGAATAGGTAAATCAATTACAGTATGTTCATAGAATGGAATACTATATAATAGTGAGAATGAACAAGTCACTGCTACACACTACAAAATAGAAAACTCTCAAACATAATAAATGAGTGAAAGAACAAACACTGAAGAATATATATTGAATGACTCTGTCTACATCTAATCACAAGGCAAAATTAATCTATGGTGATAGAAGTTAAGATAGTGGGCTTCATTTGGGAGATCTGGATATAATGAGTAGGTCAGGGAATGAGGAGGGCTTCCAGATGCTAGAATGTCCTTTTTTTTAAACAGGTGGAAGTTCCCAGGTGTGTTCAATTTCTGAAACTTCATCAAGCTGTACATTTAATCTGCAAATCCTTGTCTATGTAAATTAGACTTCAATTAAAAATTACTTTAAAAAAGTTTTAGATGTTCAACTTGTGAATGAACCTATAAAAGTCTTTAAAAATACACATTTTTTATTTTCTTAAAAGAAAATAATAACAGCAATAAGCTAAAAAAAAGACCCTTTGTGACTCTTTATAAATTTTAAATTAATATTAATAAGTACTGTGGTAGGCAGAATAATGATCCTCCAAAGTTGTCCATATCCCAATTCCTGGACCCTATGAGTATGCTACCTTACATAGCAAAAGAGACTTTGTAAGATATTGGTCAAATGATTCAAAATTCCAGTTAGACAGAAGGAAGAGGTTCTAGAGATCTATCGTACAACATGGAGACTATAGTTAATAACGATATGTTGTATACCTGAAAATAGCTAAGAGTAGAATTAATTTTTCTCACTCCCCCCAAAAAAAACCTATGGTGAGGTAATGAATATATTAGTAAGCCATTCCATGACGAACATACGTATCAAAACCTATCACATTATACACCATAATTATATATAATTTTATATATTCATTTCAATTCGTCAACTTTTAAAAAGTGACATTACAGATGTAATTGAGGTTATTCTGAGATTATGCTAGATTATCCACATGGTCACAATGTATCATCTTAAATGATTTCTTAAAAGCAGGGAACCTTTCCTGGCTGTACTAGTATGTCAGAGATGTAGGACCGAAGAAAGGTCACAGAAACGTAGCATTACTAGCTTTGAAGATGAAGAAAGAGAACATTAACCAATAAATTTGGGTGGCCTCTGGAAGCTGGAAAAGCCAAAGAAACAGATTCTCCCCTGACCCTCCAGAATGGAATGCAGTCCTGCTGACACCTTAATTTTAGCCCAGTGAGACGCATGTCAGACTCCTGGTATACAGAACTCTAAGATGATAAATTTGTGTTGTTTTAGCCACTAAGTATGTAATAACTTGTTTCAGTAGCAATAGAAAATGAATAAAAAGTGCTGAGCATTTAATTTCCATTTACCATCCCTTGCTAGCTAGAAACATACAAGAATTCTTTCTATTAAAGCATTAAGGAACGATTAATACATTAGCTGTATTTTTTCTACAGATAAAGCACATTCCAAAAGACTTTTTAGAGCCTGCTCCTCATTCAAATTTGTGCTGTTTTACAATATTTTAATTCAAAGTTAAAGACTTTCCAACCCCAAATAAGATTGTAGTCACTTTCTCCTTACATATATCCTAACCTTTCCTATGAGAGACACAAAAGTACAGATATCTCTCTCTCAAATTTATTGAAGCTTGACTCAATGAATGTATTAAGTTTTGTGTATGCTACCTCTCCTAATCTTCAGAGCAGTCAAACATTGAGCATTCAAAAGATCCATTTGAATTTCTGACAGATCTAATGAACTAACAGGGACTTGGTTGCCCTTGTTTTGGTTTCTGCAAACAGACTCAGACAAGGATTTGAGTGCAAGTAGTTTATATTTGGAGATGCTTTCAGAAAGAGTGGACAAGTAAAACAAGGAAGGGAGGAAACAAATAACAGGTGCTTTCATAAGAGGGATATACTGGAGGTAACAGGGCCATAATCACACCTCAGGACTGTCCCTTAAAGAAGAAAAGAACAGCCGGGCTCGGTGGCTCAGCCTGTAATCCCGCGCCTTTGGGAGGCTGAGGTGAGTGGATTGCCTGAGCCCGCGGGTTCGAGACCCGCCTGGGCAGCGAGACCTCATCTCTACAATAAATCAAAAAATCAGCCGGGCGTGGTAGCGCATGCCTGTAATTCCGGCTACTTGGAAGGCTGAGGCGGAAGGATCGCCAGAGCCCAGCAGGTCGAGGCTGCGGTGGCCGGAAGCGGCCACTGCACTCCAGTCTGGGTGACAGAGTGAGACTTCCACTCAAAAAAAAAAAAAAAAAAAAGAAGAAAAGAACATGGGGTGTTGATCCACCAATACATATATGTCACTTATTGGAGAAGTCATTTCCAGGGATGTGAACTCTCCAGAACACCTGGCCCACACTATACAAGCAGAGGATGCCCCTTGGTTAGAGAACCTACTGAGGCATACAGAGATACAGAATGCCTGAGACACAGGGAGCTGTCCATCATGGACCTCCTAGGTAAGCCACGAGAACATAAATGAGGCACTGAATGAGTCTGCTCCAGTGAGTACAATCTATTTCAGGGCAAAAGTATGTGAAGTTAAGTATGTACTATGCATGACTTTTCCAATCACAATAGTACACAAAACCCAAGGATGTGAAAAGTAAAATTAACTGGATCTTGATTAAGAGTTATAACTTCCACCTGATATCAGGCAAATTGGCATGGTAACTTTCTGGGTTTTCTCAGACTATTTCAATGACTTCTTGGTCAATTCACATTTAATGTTTGGTCACATATACCTAGGTTTCTTTCTTATTCTTTTTCTTTTCCTTTTTTTTTTTTTTTTTTTTTTTTTTAGTTGGAGTCTCACTCTGTCACCCAGGCTAGCATTCCATGGTACAATCACAGCCACCCCAGCGTCAACCTGCTGGGCTCCAGTGATCCTTCCACCTCAGCCTTCCAAGTAACCGGAACTACAGGCACACACTACTATGACCAGCTAATTTTTTATTTATTGTAGAGACGAGGTCTCGCCAGGTTGCCTGGGCTGGTCTCAAACCCACGGGCTCAGGCAATCCACTTGCCTCGGCCTCCTGGGATTACAGACTGAGTCACTGAGCCCGGCCTATACCTAAGTTTCTTATAGCATTGTGTTTACAACCTGTTGATGAGAAAATCTTTGGAAATGTTGTCTTTACACTGATAACTTTTTGTTCAGACTGAATTCTTCACTAAATTTAAGTACTTCCATGTAAATAAGACTCAACAGGCTGCAAGTAATTGACACTCGCCAATAAACCATGTCACCACAGTGTCATTTGATGGTTATAGGAAGAAACAGGCCTCTCTCATGACTGATGCATTGAGAGAAAAAGAGTCAATGAGTAAACCAGGTATGTTTTGGGATTGGGACCCTGCAGTTGTAATCTCACAACACCTGTGTCAATAACAAACCCAAGCCCCAACATGATGTTCCTATTGGCCCAAAAGACTTTAGTTCACACACAAAAAATTTGTTTCATTTTACAGGTCTCCAGAGAAAGACAACACAGTCATGATGAGAAATCAAATATTCTGTCTCCCTTACTTCTGTTTTTCTGGAATTCTTGATGTGTTAGTACGCCTCATTTTATCACCAGTACTAACATTAGGTGGGATTTAAATGTTGTTTTTTTAAATTTTTTTATTTACATGGAAATGTATACATCACATAGCATTTACCATTGCAATAATTTTAAGTGCACAGTTCAGTGGCATTAAGTACATTCACATTGTTGTGCAATGACCCATTACCACAACTTTTTTATCTGCCCAAACTGAAACTCTGTACCCATTAAACAATAATTTTCCTTTCCCTCATCCCTCTAGTCCCTGGCAAGTACCTCTAAATGCTATTTTACAGTGGAAATAAATCTTGGCTTTTGAGTTGGTTTACAACCAAAAAAAGTAATTGCATGCAGGAGAGAGGAAAGGGTAAATTCAGAACTGTCTGTACCTAGAAGCCTCTGTGAGTGAACTTACTGTGTAAGTGTATTTGCGTGTGTATGTCTTTAAAAGACTCTCCACCTCCCAGCCTGCCTCCTCACACTGCCACTGGGTTGTTCAGTCCACGGGTTTCCTCAGTCCCCAGAAGGAGCAGCATGGGCAACCTCCTTTGTAGTTTTAGAAGCAGGTTTGTTGCCATGGAGTTTATATTCTGACTGGAGTTTGGACGTATAAAGGTAAAAGACTGTTTTTTAGCGTTTCAAAGATCTGGCAAAAAGATAGGCTGCTGCTCTTCTTCTGGAAAAGCCTGATTGGTAAGATTCCTTTAAGGGTTCAGCCCCATAGAGCTTTATCCCATCCCCTCACTTATTTGAAAACTCAAGCTTGCTGAGACCTCTGGAGGAAAACCTGCCCCGGGCCCTGTCACTCCATACCAATGGCTAATCCTGGAGGTGGAACTGTGTGCAATGGAAGTCTTCACAACCACAAGAAACAGAGCAATGGCTCACAAAGTAGAAACTGCACAAAGAATGGAATCGTGAAAGAAGCCCAGGTAAGAGGCATTCCCCCCGCCCTTCTCTGAATCACCTGAACATGTTTCAGTGTTTCTTTGTGAAGCTGTTTGAGGCTGTCCTAACTTGAAAAATCCTCTTAGAAGATGTTTTTTGTGTGTTTTGACTATTCACTTCAGCTAATATCGAGTGCTCGACTACCAGAGAGCTTAGGTGTGGATTAAGGAGAACATTTCTTCCCTATACAAGAGACTCACACAGCCTTAGACACTCTAAAATGCAAATGTACCTACTAGACTTCTGCTTTCTCTCAAGCATTTTGGGGGACAGAATTGTGAAGGCTCCTACTCTTTAAATTTTATTCCATCAAGAGATCTGCTACACCCATCATGCTTCAGAAGAAAAAGAGGAAGTGAAAGTATATTTTGCTGAGTTTATGTAGTAGAGATGGCATTCTTCCCAGGTACATGAGAAATGCCTCTCTTGTTGAAAGTCAAGTTCTTTTGGGTGTTTGGTGGAGCATTATCATAGCTCACAACTTGATTTGAGGCCAGAATCCTTCTTTGAAATACAACATCACAAGCATTCCTTTCCAAAACATTTCAGAAAGTGGGGCTCATTGTGACACACTGCACACAGAAGCCAGAACAGCATCTTTATCACAGATTTTGAAGAGTTTTCCCATATGACACTTTTTTAAAATCCAGCTTTGATAGAATATTTGAGGAACTGTGCTGAGGAGGAGGAGGAACTCAAGAAAGATTGTCAGCTTATTCCAAGAGAGAGCCTGGGTCTGTGAGGTCCTTGTGTAAAGGCAGTTCCCTACTTCCCACAGGACACCGTGTCGCTCTGCTCTGAGCACTAAGGGTGAGCTCACCTGCCTCAGGAGCAAATGAGCAATCAGACAGGTAGCCTCCCTATTGGGAAATGAGGAGCCCTATGCAATCCTTGGTTTGACTATCCCCAACAACCAGCATTCGCCCAGGGGGAAGGCTGATTGTTCTGAGATCACAGGACAGGTGGGGTCCGTCCTCCACTCAGGGAATTAAATTGAGGGTCCAACTGGAAGGGGCAGGAGGTGCTCTGGAGCCTGGGTTATATGTAAAAGGCTGTGCCCTCCACTCCAAGTTAGTATTTCCTCTTTACAGAAGTTATTGTCCTCGCCTGGAAGTGTCTGTCAGATACCTCAGGCCTGACATCTCCCAGCTGATTACCTGAAACCTGGAGCAATCTGAAGAGAAAGTACTCAACTCCTGTCACTTACATGAAGGAAATTGTAATAATATTCACCATCTATTTATCACTTAGTGTCACTTCAGATTCCTGCCCCAGATGTTCCTTGCCCCTAAAATGTTTGCAACTCACTGGCTGCTTACCTACTCACCCTCCTCATCAGTCTCACCCCAAGGGCTCTCATTTAGGCAGATGCCTTTATAACTTTTCCTTCCTTTCTTTAGTTTATCTTGGTTATACAATCACATTCTAGTGTTTGAGATTAGAAAATTATGTCGACAGTTACAACCACTCCTAAGTAAGGATAGAACTCAGGATCCTAAAAGTTTGTTACTAAGTGTACCTACAAGACTATAAACATCCCTGGAAACTGAGGCTTCCCTAAGAGCAGCTGAAAATATCAGAGCTCCTGTTGGTTTTCTGACAGCTCCTTCTGAAGGGCTGTCCAGAGCCTGCTGGCTCAGTCATATTTAGGTGTTACTAAGTTGAAATTGGCTTCCACCAAGAGCCTCAATTATGGCTTAAAAATATTTTCCATAAAAATAAAAATAAACCCTGCAAGATCATGGCAGACAGGAGTCTATTTTTCCCTTCATGATGGAATGAAGTTGCCTTAACTCTTGTAGTCCAGTTTGCCTTGAGGCCCCTTAACAAACTAGGTCTTGACCTAAAACCTAGCCTGTTGATAGAAGCAGTCTGTAAAGGCTTACAGATATCCTGGGCTGGTGGTCTTCCAAATATATTTTGTCTGGCCTAAGATCGTGTGGTACAGTGTCTAAAATCCTGCCAGCTTTCCCAAGGATCCCCTCATTCTTTCTCTTCTTGCTTATTTGCAACCACATAGCAACACAAAGATTTCTTTTATATGCTGGGGCACCCTATAAGATTCTTTTGCCAAAAGGTTCCCTGGCATTGCAAACAATATGAAAGACATTATTACACAGTCGCCCAGGGTCCTTCTTCCCTCTGTTTCAGCGTAGGCTGATGTCGACACTCTGGCTCTGGCACGCAGACTCGCTGCCCCAGCCTCAAGGTTGGCAAGGGGCCAGAATCTTTCCATTCTGGAAACCTTCTAGTGTTTCTTTCTGGAGCTTTCTTGGAGCTTGACCATATTGCCTGCCTTCTGTTGTTGTTTTATTTTGTTATTGATTTTTGATTTTCTTGTTAAATCCCATATACCCTGAGGATGCACTAAAGCTGGTTTTCATCACTGATTAAGTTCATTTCTTTGTTTACTTCTAATATGTCATCTTACCTTTTATTTCTAACAGAACACTACTATATTATAAAACTTATTCTTTTTCTTCATGAGCATATGCACATTGCACACAGAAGGGCCCTTAGGGTCTTAATCCATACACTTGATATATCTTATAATTTCTTATTGAATTATAAATTTTCCTATTGAATAGGGATTTCCTATTACAATTCCATATTATTGATTTATGATTATTATCCACATAATTACTTTTTAATTCCCAGTATTTATTTTTGAGCTGACCATAAACTTTTATTTGACCTCAGTCTAGAGAGGTAGCTTTTGTGTCTTCATTGCTTGTAGGACTGCATTCCCCTGAAAATAGCTTTTCTATGAGGAAGAGGTTTGCATTTTCTTCTATTAAACTGAACAGGATGAAGAAAATTCTGTGGGGTTTTTTCCCACTTATTCCTTTGCTAAAAAACAAAAATGTCTTGGGGAGTTACTCTAATTCAAGGTTTATTGATTTCTTATCCCGAATGTTGTAACATTACAAGGTAAAGGCAGTGATCCCTAAAAGGTTGTTACTTTTTCTGTCATTTATTCATTTATTCACCTATATATTATCAAGAATCTGCTATCCTTGTGACATATAAAGAGAAAAAAGAATTTCACAATTTAGCTATTAGGAGAAAGCTTATGTTAAAATTAAAACAATAACATTAAAGCTAAATGCTAATACAAGGACAAAGCAATATGATGTGAGAACAAGGTATAGATATTAAGCACTGGAAATTGGAAATGAGGGGAAAAAAATAACATGTATCAATATTCTGCTACATAGCAGGACAGGCAAAGCACTTTATGTAGATGTCTCCTGTACCTCTTTACAACAGCCCCATGAAATGGTAGCATCATGCCCATTAAACAGATGAGGAAACATAAATCCATTAAGAAACTTGTGCAAAATCACAATCAGCATGACCAGGATTGGATCCAAAATCCATGTTGCTCTGAAGCCAGTTCCTTTTCCACCACTTTCTAGGAAACCACCTATTAGAGTGGTTGGTGACAGTTTCACAGAGCTTGGAAGATTAAAATTGAAACTTAAGACATTAGAAATGGCAGGGAAAAAATGGAGAGTTTATTCTTGGGGGTTAAATGAGAAAAAATGGGGAAAGGAGCCCCAGAGATGAATGTAGGAGTTACTAAGGGCATTAGAAGGATCCTAAAGCATTCCAGGAAGGAGGAACAAAATGTGCAAAAGCTGTGAGGCACAACAGATCATAGGACTTTTGAAAAACTGTACCCAATTCAGCGAGGTTTCATTGTAGAGAGGGAGAAGAGTGCTGTGGCCAAGGTGGTCCTCAGTAGATGCTGGATAAAAGGAAAAGACTAACCCAGATTATTATGGAAATCCTTTCCAGTTCTAGAACTATTTAAACTTAGCTTATATTTTCCTCCTCTTTCTATATCGCAATGCCCTGGTACATCTATTATGGTACATCTTCTGTTATGATATAAACCTCTTCTACAGAGTGGGAATTATGTCTGGTAGGTTAGTTTAACTGCACACAGTGGTAGCTGCCTGACAGGCCATTGCAAATACTAGCGTTCATGGTGCTCACCTAGGCTGCACACTGATTGAAATAGAGGTCAATATTCTCACTAATTATTAGGAGAATTCATAAACTAGAAGAATTTTGGAGATCCCTTTCAATTGCTATGAATTTTCATACTACTCTTATCTTCTACAGTCATTCTCTAATGCCTTTTGTTTCTTGGTTCCTGCTCCCTTAGAACAATCCCCAATGTGATAAAGCTTTTCAGTGATCTTCCTGAAGAGTCCCCATTTTTTTCATGGGTTTTTCATCATAAATCATTCCTGTGTGTCAAGTGCTGCAGTCATTAAAATGAAAACATTCTTTTTCCATTTATAAATAACTCACAGGCTAAATGGGAAAAACAGACAAGTAAATAAGTAACTATAATACTTAATGGTAAGTACTGTAATAAATGTTGCCATTATCTATTTATGTGTAACAACCAACCCAAAACTCAATGGCTTAAAACAGTAACTATTGGATTGCTCATGGTTCCTCTGTGCCAGGAATTCAGGCAGAGCTTGGTAAGGATGGCTCTTTTCTGTTCCACATGATGTTTGCTGCAGAGCAACTTGCCTGAGTATCCAAGATGGCCCCACTCACATGTCTGAGACCTTGGTATTGGCTGTTGGCCAAAGTGCATTGTGTTTCTTTCGCAAGGAAATGCTTTGCATATCATCTCTCACCACTCTGCAGAGTGGTACGAGATTTTTTTTTTTTTTACAGGAGGGTTGGTTTCTAAGAGAGTGAAAATGGAAACTACATGTCCTTTTATGCTCTAGGCACATATCTGCTGCATTCTATTATTAAAGTCAGTCTCGGTCCAGCATAGATGCAAGGAAAGGAGAAATAGACTCCACTTTATAAGGATTTGAAAAGTTACATTCAAAACGTTATGAGAGATTAGAGACATTATTGTAACTATCTTTGGAAATTGTCTATCACAATAGAAATATGTTGACTATGAATGGGAACACACAGGAGTGAGCATCTGACTTGGGTTAGG